GGAAAGAGTAATACAACAGAATTCTGAGTCTGAAACTAGGGCTGTGAGAAGCTACAAGTGCTGATTTGATTCAGAGGAGATTCGACCTGATTCCACAGCCGAACTGAATCAGGAGACCAATAAAAAAAGGTCCAAATCTATTTGGAAAAGATTTGGAGATTCGGGCAGTCCCCGCCCACTGCAGCAGGGAGCTGGACCCGGACTCCATGTCAGCAAAGGGGGGGGGCTGGAAATCAGCTGGTGAATGCAGGTCTTTTTTTTTTTTTTTTCCCCCCCCAAGCAGGGAGGCTGGGGCAGGTGGAGCAGCCATTGATGGGGCTGGGAGAGCTGGCAGGGAATGGGGCCCGTCTGATACAGAGATTCGGTGGTACCCGAAGCTCTGAATCAGATTCAGCCGAATTGATTTAGGACAGTGATTCAAATCACCAAATAAAATCACTGTCCCCCGAATCATCCGAATCCAAATCAAATACTAGCTGCTTCGCACAGGCCTACCTGAAACCCCTCTCAGTCTCTTCCTAAGAGCACAGAATCTAGTATCCTTCTATTTCAAGATGGCAGTCTCTAATAGAGTGGTTTTAGTAAAAGGAACAAAAAAAAAAAAAAATCTTACTGTAGCAACCAAGACTTCCAGCTGGAAGCATATAATGGTAAATGCTGACAGTTTAAAAGATGGCTAGTTCAAACGTATACCAGAGCTTTATATACCTGACCACAATACTCCCAGTGTGGCCTAAAGGAAGTTAAACAGGTTAAAGTGCAGCAATTTAGGACAGCAAAAAACAAGGATTTTCAGAAAGAAAAAGAAATATGAGGTTCTGCCCCAGCAACCAGAATTTCTCAGCTGCATATAAACTGCTTACCTTTGCACATCATAGTTTGCATTAAAGAGACTGCCCTGCCATAAGCTAGTCAGTTCCTCTGTCTCCTTTTCAGTGGGGTTTCCAGACACAGTCACAAACATCATAAGAGTCTTCCCCTTTTTGGTCAGCTTCAGGATGCTCTCAGGCTTGCCTGGATCAATTTTTGAAAAATCAACTGGTGCCGAGGGCCTTCTGTGTTCAGGGAGATCCCCCTCTTCAATGTCATCATCTTTCTGTTTTTAAATAAGAATAGATGCTTTAAAAAAAAAATGACACGTTAAACAATGGCAAGTTTCAAAAGACTAGTTTTCAATTTGATTGAGGGTTTGTTTCTTTTTAGTATATAAAAAAGTGACACATTAGTTAAAAGACTATTAACACATTGTTTGTGATGCAGAAGACCTTATGCTTGAGTTAATAACAGAGATGCCAAAACAAAGAAAAACAGCTAATTGTGTATTATGAAATCTTAACTATGAGCCAGAACAAACTCTTAGGCAATGTTAACTTACATTTTGTTACTATTTCTCTCATCCATCCCCTTACCCAACTCATATGGGCAAAATTTTGCACGTATTCATGCCTCTGAAATCCCATCGACTTTGAGGGGCTGAGAGGCTACAACTACAAACATCTGGTCCATTTATTGCATACTAAATAGGAAACATTACAGACTTAGTGCCAAGTCTATGAGATAGAAATGCTTTACTTGTTTATACGAGGCATGAAAAAACAGAATGTGCCAATACACCTTGAACAAAAGCAGTGTTGATAAGTCTTGCAATACCAGACTTTTTAAATGAAGCCTTAGCTCCTGGAGTCATGCAATTAGCAGGGAATCTCAGCTTGCTTTCTTTTCTTTCTTTTGCAAGTAAAGTTCTAGCCTCTGTTTGCAGAGAAAAACTTGAGGATGTGAACTCTAAAAACTCAAATCAATAAAAATTTAAATTTGGGGGGATTTTAAAAAAAAATCCCCCCAAAACAAAACCCTAATTTTCTACTAATGAGGCTGACATTCTACAATACTGAGGAATAACAATCTAGCTTGAAAGGTATTTGCTACTCTGCAAGTCTGACATAAATGGACTGGGTAAAGAGGAGGGCAGAGTGCATACACGCGCAGCCCACGGAGACAATTCCCACAAGGACGAGTGCTTCACAAATATGTAAGTGCACAGGGACCATGCTAATCTTTTCTCTATCACTCCAGCTGTAAGTGCTGCCAAAGCGAACCTGGTTATAGTCGATCAAATTTAAAAAGGAGAGACCTTTTTCTAAAAATGGAGAGTGAGCTTCTATAGAAAGCAATCACAATTCTAGGCATTCCTCAGGGGAGCACAGTTTGTTCACACAGTGAAAAATGAAGATGGAAAAAACTTACATGGGCACACTCCTCAAGAACAAACTGCATAGCCCACTGAAAGGAGGAATTAGGTGGGTATTTTACATTTAATTTGATTTTAAATGCTCAACAAAAATGTACACGCTTATTCCATATAAGTGCACAAGCCTCAGGAATAATAAAAAAAGGCTATGCGCTTACCCAGGCCAGGCACAGACATTACACTTTTACCAGTACAAGTGATCAGAACCCGATGTAAGAAGGGCACCCCCTGCCAAAGGGCGAATGTGTGTTCCCTTTGCTACCAATCGAAATCTATGGCGCTGCCAGAAAACTGTATAACTTAGAACAATTCCACCTAGAGCTATTTAAATGTCTGCACCTAGCCAACATGTACATATCTGAACCAGAGGTAAATGACACAGTTCTGTCAGCCCTGAAACTGGGTGGCTCCCTTTGTTTTCAGAGATTGCAATAGCAGTCCTCTAACATTTATTTCCCCCATCACTGTTTCTGGTGCAGTTAAATGGAGCAGAATTAGTTACAAAGTGGAGTTACAGTTTGTACAGAAATAACCAGACTATAACTAAGTTAAAGATGGACAGCAAAGCTAAAAGATGCTATACATTCAAGCAGTGCCTGCATTTAACTGATAAATAGATAACCAGTGGTGTTAAATTGTAAGCAACAAACAAACTGGGACTGGTATTACATAATATTGGTGCGTGACTTATCCTTGGAAGAGGGTTAGTTTGCTGTGTTACTCTGAAGCAAGGCAGAGTGGCACCTTGGAGCCTAACTGGTTCAGAAAAGCATAACCTTTCAGAAGTGAGAGCCTAATTATTCAGATTCTCTAAGGTGACATCCTGCTCTGTCTTCTGCCTTATCCTTGAAAAGGGTCATGTAGGATGAGTTGGCTTCCACTGTCAAACAGGTCGTGCTTGTTTGCTTTCTGATTAATTTAATTTTCATTTTGTTTGCTTTGACAAAACCCTGCTGCAATTTTTCACTTTGAAGGATCAGTGTTCCTTCATAAAGAGCTTTTATTTTAAGCCTTTTCTTATTCACTTGTTTTGTATAAAACTTATGAGCTAGACACATTTATGTTTATGTGGAAACGCTGTTTTCTGATTGAGCAGAGCCAGAAATTTCAGCCATAATCCCAGCTCTGCTAGTGACTCACTGAAGAGCATTAAGTTATACATGTGCTTTTAAAACCCCCTAAAGTGATTTAGAAGTGAGACCCCAATGAAGATCAGTTTAATATTCAATTCCATTCTTTTCCATTCTCCCTGTCCTTCATCTGAAGAAACGGACCACCACTTTCTTTGTGGGAATGCTGAGAAAGGTCACGTTTGTAAAGCACTGTGAAAATGTAAAGCATTATGTTGCTGAACAAGAAATAAAAGCAATTTGATACTATTTTAAATTTAGTTTGATCAGCAGACATGTAGCCTATTTTGCACGTTTGAAATGGGAAGCTAGGAATAGTTCTAATTTAATCCTACTGTAGCACAAACTGTTGATGGCATTAGTAACAACACACATTATTAATATGAATGGTTGAGAAAAAGTGTAAGTCAGGAGTGAGCAAAATGGTGAATCCAGCTGGTAGCCGGACTCCATTTCCCAGGAGCCACTGCCCATGTGGCTGGGGCCAGTTTCCATGAAGACCCCAGCAGGAGCTGGCGGGGCTTGTGTTTCCGTGGAGATCAGCCCCAGCAGCGCAGGCAGGGGTGCTAGCTGCTTTGGGGCTAGGCTGGGATCTTGCAGTGGTGACAGGGTGGTCCAGAGCCAGGGCAGAGCCACAATCTTCAGCCTGTGCGGTCCGGGCAGGGGCGTGCAGGCAGCAGTTCGCAGCACTGCCCTGGCTCCAGACCATACTGTCACTGCTGCAAGGAGCCAGGGTAGAGCCATGACCCACTGCCTGCATGCCCGTGACCAGACCATGCAGGCTCAAGATCGTGGCTCTGCCCTAGCTCCAGACCATGCTGTCACCACAGCAAGAAGCTGGGGCACAGCTGCGACCTGCTGCCTGCATGCCCCTTCCCTGGACCATGCAGGCTGAAGACTGTGGCTCTGCCCTGGCTCTGGACCACCCTATCACCACACTGCAAGATCCCAGCCCGGCCCTGGAGCAGTTCCCCGCACTGTCAGCAGGGCTGGGGCTGGTCTCTATGGAAACCCAGCCCCCGCTGCTTGGGTCTCCATGGAAACCGGCTCCAGCCACATAGGCAGGAGCTGCTGGGAAATGGAGTCCACTGCTGGCTGCATCCAGCCCACAGACTGGACTTTGCCTGCCTCTGGTATAAGTGTTCACGAAGCCGTACCGCTTTAAGTACAGCCACAAGGAGTGATTGAAAGCTTCTCTATATGACACATCACCACTTGAAGACTTTTCAGAAAGCTTTGTAAAAGACATATGGTAAAACTACTTAAAACATGGTTTGTAATGCAGACTAAATGAGTGAAAGGAAAAGCAGCAATTGAATTTTGTTTGACATGAATCCACTAGACATGCATGAAAATGAAATCCAGAGAGAAAGCATTAAATGGATCAAACAAGACTCCTTCCTGACTCTCACAGGGACTCACACCACAGACCAGCTCTCCATTACCAATTTTCGCATACTGTATTTCTATAGAAATAATGCAAAGTTAGCCAGGGACACTGGCAATTATGCTTTTAGCTCAGTCAAGCATGGGCAACTCTGAAGTTTAAAATAAGTGCATTAACAATGAACTGTTTTAAAGAATATGAATTTAGTCTTGGAAAGAATTCTGGGACAGATTCTGGGCTCCATTCCATTGCATGCTTCTCGGGGCTGCTGGAGATCCCCCTCTTTGCAAAGGAGAACGCCTGAGTGGCATGAAGCTAGCAGTTACTTTGCTCCTTTAAGTGATTCTCAGTCAAGGTGCCACAGGATCCTTTTAAGAGTGCAACATAATATTGGCACTGTTACATGTACAAAGATTTACAAGATAAACCCAGAGATTTTCAGTAGGAATGCACAGCATCAAAAACATTCCTAGTTTTTGCGGGCCATGCTCTTTGCAACAAAAAAACCCCTTCCCTATTACCTTTTTGTAAAAAGTGAGTGAAAGCTAAGAGACGGCATTTTCTGAGAGGTACCTTGATCTAAAAAAGGTTGAGAACTACTGCTTTCAGTCACAAAGTAAGGCCTGAGCGCACTGCAGACCAGGATGAGACTTGCCTGGTACATTTCAGAGGGAAAGTCATCATCAATGACAACCTTTGAAATAGGGGTGCAGGAACAAAGATGAATGCGACTCTGGGAGTACGACGAAGCCACAGGCAGCTCCTTGCTGCTGCGCTGTGTGCATCCCTAAGGGAGGCATCATGTGCCCTCCAGGATTTGTGCGCAGGGCAAGGGCAGGCTGCCTGCTGCAGGCTTGGGGTCCAGAGCTGTGCCAGCCTCTTATAGGTAGGGAGGCTGGGCCAGGGCTGGGACTGAGGTGGGCACCAACAGCGCTGGGAAGGGTGGCTATGGGGAATTTTGGGGTGGCTATAGCCCACCCCATAGGCACCCCTCCCAGCACTGTGGCTGCCCACCCCACCCCACTCCCACTTGCTTGGAACCCAGCACCAGCCCAGCCCCTGCCCGCTGGGAAGAGGCCAGCATAGTCTCTAGCTCCAGTCCTTAGCTTCAGCTTCACTGGGAGCCGTGCCCCTTCCCCACCCCCTGCAACAGCTGCTTGCAGCTCCATCCCGCTCCTGGGGTTGCATTCAACACCCTGGCTGGGCAGCACCTGCCCCTGCCCCACTCCCTCCCACAACTTGATCTGCCCCCACCCATACCTCTTCCCCCTCTTCTCCAAGCTGCCAGGCTGCATTCCTGGCCGTATACATGCTGCAGCTGCACACATGCATGTGGCATGTATCGGTGATATTATCGGCTACACCGATCTGATACATTGGTGTACCTCTACTTTAAAGCCCTCTAAGCTCTGAGGATCTACACAGGTACAGGTATCCATGAGGAGGTTTTGTGGTGAATGTGCACATGAAGTCCTCTTAGCTTTCCAAAGTGTATGGGGGCAGCCACTACAGGCTCCTGCTCTCCAGTGCTTCCTGTTAGTCATCACAGGTATAGACAAATTTAAAGCTCACAAAAATGAAATATTAACTAGTCATGTTGAACACTTCAAACCAAGGGTAAAGCTAAGGTTTAACCGTGAATTAAATATTAATCTCGTTTCTAACAAGGTTTGTTTTTTGCAAGGCATCTGGTGT